TGCTAACCAAAAGAGAAACGAAAAAAGAGAAAAAAACGAATAATATGCAAAGGCATATTAGTAAGGGACCAAAGAGAAGAGAAGAGGACCAAGAAGACTTTTCTAGACTGATTCTACATATTGAGGAAATGGAAGACAAAAAACAGAGTGCATCAGTTTTAAAAGTTGCATCAAATAAATTTGTTAAGAATTCTTTGTTGCCTCAAGCACTTGCTCGATTTTATTACAAAGAACTAAAAGATTACAACAAGGCTGAAATGTGGGCAAAGACAGCAAAGGAAAGAGATGACAAAAAATCATTCATTTATGATACACTGGGTCAAGTCCATAAGAACCATCTGAAGAGCAAAGAGTCTCCTGCTAAGCCAAGAGAAATCTTGCAACTGGCCACAAAGGCAATTGAAGCTTTCAAAGAAGAAGAACAACTTGCTGAAAATGAACTAGACACAGACATGAAAGAAGATGGCAAGACCAAAGTCTCGCATATTTTTAACACCAGAGGGCAGTTTGGTTACCTGCAGGTTTGCAACCTTGTGTATGACCTACTTGTCAGTCAGAATGAAACCTGGAGAAGAGTTCTCACAAAGAATGTGTCCATGGGCTCTGTCCTGGAATTACTTGGAGACAACAAACTCTTCAGATTTAATGATCTAATAAACAGCCTCAGAGATGAAGTTGAGGAAAAATGTGACTTTTTTGATACCTATTTAACCTACTCAGAGTCTGTCATTAAAAAAGATGACGCATCATACGTAGCTAAAGAGACCTCAGAATGCTACAAAAAGTATGTCGGAGACTCAGCACCCAAACACAAAGAGAAATCTGATGAAACAATCCAGAAGCTCAAACAAAAACTGGCTGCCACTTCTGCTGGAGTACTCTCATGTCTTGACAGACAATACCCTGTGTCTGAACTTCAAAAGATTGCTACATGGTGGAAAGAAATCTGTGTAAGCCAAGATTCCACTAGACACGCCTTAGCCAACTACATCCTCTCTAACATCATGCTGATAAATAAGAATGAGACTCCATCCTGTTCTGACTATCATAATGCATTTAGACAGAAAATGCCATTGAGCCGGAGAGATGCACCTGAGCTTCACATGTTAGCTCTGCTAATATGTTGGCCTACAGATGAAGACAAATGTGTCTCTAACCTCAGTGAATTAATTACAAAACTTCAGCGCTCATATGAACATGAATATAAGACACTCTTTCGATCAAGGTACCTTCGCCCTCTGTTTTTTATCGGAAAAGGTAGAGGCCTGAGCAGAAATGTTCACAGATGGATCCTTGAGACCTTGTGGACTAAGGATGTACTACGAAACTCAACCACTAACTGGAGGAATGAGAATATTTTTAAAGATCCCTTAGTCCAAGAACGCCTTCTAAAAGTTGAAGGAGTGGTGCGAAACTACAGATTGTATGCAACTTTTGGAGGCATGGAGATTGAGTTGGATGTGATCCAAAGAGACAGCCTGTGGAAGTCAGGTCAAGTTTCCTTTTACCTTGGATTTACCATCAGCGGCCCTGTAGCTTTTAGCATTCAGACGACAACTACCACAGAGGGTAATAAAGTAAACTATTATTTTATAACTTAATTAACAAATATTAAATATATACATCATATGAAATTCAAATGTATCCATTTGTGTTCAAATACTTGATTAAGCACAATAACTTAAAGTGGGTTCACAATATATATATTATTTGTATTAGTTATCCTTTAAACCTATGATGCAAATTGAAATATCAATTTTAAGTGAGAGCACGAGAATTTCTGTTTGCTACGTAAAGTTCTTTAATATATTGAGTTTTCTACTAACAAAGAAGTGCTCCATCTGTTATTTTGTCTTTTAACTGACTGACTACAGATTAACATATGACATGTAAACACTGGCCAGTATTTACATAGCAGTGCAAATTAGAATAGTTTTAAGCCCACACAGCTCTTGGATACACTGGTCATCTTACTGTTATAACAGTCATGGTGAGTGACTGGTAAATGTAGTGGTATTTGGGTTTTACTGTGTGTTTATGATGTATGATGTCATAACAGAAAAGTTTGTCTGATTGTGGGCATTTAAAACATTCTTATCTTAAATAGAAAATGACAGTTAAGACTCATCTGGTTAATTACACTGTTACACACAGTCCAGTTTTCATGGCAGGAGCTTATACTGTGTAGCAAACTAATTATTCTAAATTCTACTAACAATAAAATGTACATTATATAACATAGTTGGGTAAAAATATGTGTTTGATTAATCATATTTCAGGCAAACACAGTAAAAAAAAAACATAATGTTAATAACTTAATAACCTGCAACATCACACTGATAAGTTAGAATAAGTAATAATAATACATAAGTAAGTAAGTAAGATCTAATTAATAAAATAACCTATTATTTAAAAAAAAAACTGGTTTATTAACAGTGGTATAAAAGAATGTTCAAATGTCTGATTTTAATGTTTACCAATGTGTCTTCACAAGGGCCTTCGGAAAAGTTTGATCTTGGAGCTTTGGGTGGTAAGGTAAGTTTTTTGTTTGCTTCCTTGTTTACTTCGCAAAACAACTTATCCATCAATTACACTTTTTTTTTTTGCTTTCTGAAACAGGACTCCAGTAATTGGATTGTACTTGAACCAGAAGTCAAAAGAGTGGATGAGGTTAAAACCTACAGGTAAAGATAATATCTTAATATGTCACAGCACAGAGGAACAATGGATGTTTAAATAAGCAAAATAAAGTTTTGAAAGATCTTTTCACTCAATTTTTCAAAAATGTGTTAAAAACTTGAAATGACCAAGGCCACCAAAACAGCAAAGCAAAATTGAGGAACACAGGGATACAAGAGAATGATTCATTCTACCTTACATACATTTTCTGCCTTACAAGATACTGTACATTAGTCAGAGTTTCAAAATTAAACTTCCTTCATATACATCACATTTAACTATTGTTCTACACAGTTCAATGGGGCAGCTGTGGCTCAGGAGATATCGTTCACTAATCAGAAGGTTGGCGGTTCAATTCCTGGCTCCTCTTGCTGCATCTTTGAGCAGGATACTAAACCCCAAATTACTTGTGCATTGGTGTATGAATGTGAATGAATAAGTTAGTTTCTGTGTGGTCTGGTGTGGTCCATTTACCATTTCAGCACACTGCATGCAAAACACTTTTGACTCCTAGATGACAGTGCAGCAATGCTCCACATAGACTATATAAAGAACTGTGTGTAGTTCATTATTTTTTCCCTTTCCCTCTTTAGTCTACAGTCTGAAGCAGGTCGTTATGAATGCAGAGTGTCTGCCTTGCGCTGGGCTTGTAAGGAAGAGGTCAGCATCAGATACCAGTTTTGCTCATGGGAGGAAAACATCAGGAAGCCTGTATGCATGGATTACATACCAGCAGGACCCCTACTGGACATCACAGTCACAGAAGGAACGGTAGAGGACATGTATCTGCCACACTGGATAGGTAAGAGGACATACACATATAATGAATTGTTTAACCATTTGAATGAATAAATGCAATTTGTCCTCTTCACTAAATTCTCTTTATTTTTTTTTCCAGATTATGACTCTACAATGTCAGACATGTTTGCAGTTCTACATGTGGATACATGTGGAGATTTTGTGGAACAAGTATCTGAAGTCACATCATCCCACGTTAAGTTACGCCAGCCAATTTTCCATCATGATCCAGGGGTCATGATCCGGCAGAAACTGGGCATCCCAGTAAAACTTTACCATGATGCGTTAATATTCAAACAGACAAAAAAGGAATTCCTCACATTGCATGTATACCTGGTCCCACCCGATGAGAATAAACAAGAGGTTTATTTTTTTTTTTCATAATAATTAATACAAACCATTTCAAGATGTATAAAATGAACACCTTGAATTTTGGAAAATGATAAATATATTCTAAAACCATCATGGTTGTTCTTAAAAAATATATATCAGTGTTAACTGCTGGCTCCTGTTTTTTTCACAGAAAGTGAAGAAGAACGAGGACTCTTATGGATCAGTTTTAATCCCGAAACCAGGCCCAAAAAAGTCTCTTCAAATACAAGATAATTTCTTCCTCACAACAGACGTGGACACTAGTGAAATAAGCCCGACTGTAAGTTTTTAATTGTTTTAATTATGGGGATCAGTATTAACAAATATCAAAGATAAGAATAAATCATTTAAAGCAAAATGAAAGACACTGGTAGGTTTAACAATTAAATTTTGAGAATGCACACACAAGAAGGTGCAGACCAGTGTGCACTTAAAGTAAAAAAAACTAGAGTTGGGTTAACTAGCTAATTAGTTGTTTCTGAAATAACAAATAAATAAATCTACTCTAAAATGATGTTATCATATTGGTTGCATTTACACATTCACGCACAATAAATAATTCAGGTGATATCAATGCAATATATATGAAAATAAATAGAAAAATAGACTTCTACTGCATCAAAATAATGTCATTATTATCATTATCATTATAATATTTGTATTTTTTTTTTTTTTCATTTCGTGAGAGCCTCCATTTTCCTGAAATAGTGCCATTTCTAATTTGAGACTGCTTTTATGGGATATTCAGCAGAGCTGAAACGATTAATTAATAAGAAAAATAATTGGCAACTAAAAAACCAAGTCATTTTTCAAACTATAATTGTGATATGTGGCTTGTATGTCAGAGACTTTGCTGGTTTTCTATGACATAAGCCTAATTGTAAACTGGATATCTTTGGGTTTGGGACATTTGCTAATTGGTCACACACTAAACCTGGGGTCAGATCCTTGTTCGTTACTGTAGTTACTGTTAGTATACTCAAATATTATTTGCATGGATTATTACAGTCTGGCCTTTAACCCAATATTTTCCCTCACAGGGATTAAAGCTCAGATATGAGAGGAGAGATTACTTTGAGGTGTTCATCAGAAATGCAGAGAGCGACTTCAGACTAAAACTTGAAAGTAAACAAAAAAAATATATTCAAGAGGACGCTGTCTGGATCTGCACTATCAGAAAAGGTGGGTCTTTTTTGTTAATTTTAAATACATTTACATGCATCTACTACTAACTTTCTTCTGTTGAGCAAATGCTGTCTGTTTTGACGTGTCTAATCAGCATTGTGACCTGTATTTTATTTCAGGGGACTACCAAAATTCAAGCACTGATCTTGAACAAGGTAAGAAAAGACATTTAATATGCTTTGTTACTACTGCTTAAAACATTTTTCAGTTCCTTGTTTCTAAATTTGAACATATAACCATTACAACTTCTATTCACTGTTGTGTCTTGTTTCCTTTGCTTTTTTCTTCTACAACAGCCCCAGATAAGCATTTTGTGGTTCGCCATCGGATAGCTCTGATTAAAAGAGTGAGCGCCACAAATGACATTCTGGATAAGCTCTTGGATAAAGAATTGATCACACATGAGAACTATGATGCTGTGAGAGCTTTATCAACCACACAAGACCAAATGAGGGAGATTTTGAGGTTTGTGAATTCAGCCGGCACAAGAGGCAAAGATGCTCTCTATGAAATCCTTAAAGGGATGAGGAGTATGAGGCCTCTCATCCTTGAGCTTGAAAAGTCTGAAAAAGGGAGCAAAACTTAAAAAGAAGTGCTGTAGCTTTGGACACTAAGAGAACATCTGACATTGAGATAACAAAAACCAAAGTACTTGACAACACGACTGTATATTCTGACAATATTTTGGTTAAACTATAACTTCAGAGAAAGAGGTTTTATTGAATATAAAAATGTCGTCTAAGCAGCATTAAAGATTTGGACATTTTGAAAAGATGTCCCTTTGGACTTTGACTACAGCTTTGGATGCAATAATGTACATTTTCTACTGGATTGTTCATTGGACTTTTACCACTTTTATACTTTTTTTTACTACAAAGTTGTTAGGAGTTGAAAGGGGAGAGGAAGATGCTGGACAAAATGTTATCCAGTTAATATTTAGCATCCTTAATGTACTGGTCAAATTGTTACTTTTTAGTAATGGATTTATTCATGTCTGCTGTGAAAAGGAATCCATCAGACACCTCAGATGAAAAGAGAGACTTTATTAAGGAAACTAAGCTCCTA